ATGGATGGGTGGGTGGATGGATGGATGGGTGGGTGGATGGGTGGATGGGTGGGTGGATGGATGGATGGGTGGATGGATGGGTGGGTGGATGGATGGATGGATGATGCCCTCCAACTTACAGAAAGAGAGAAACCTATCCCACAATGCTTAATTGTTCACCCTGAAGAGGGGCTGAATCTGTGTCCGTTCAATCATTCACCCTCACCTGGGCCCCCAAGTGCCAACAACACACAGCAAGGTGATGACCAGTCAGGGTTTGACTGCATGAGCAGAGGAAAGACTTAATTTAATGGTCCCACAGGCGAGGAAACAATAACGTAGGCTGTAACAGTGGGCCATTCATCTGAACTACTAGAAAACCATAAACTATAATCAAAAAAGTACTAATTTAGATAACCCATATTAGTCCAAAAATGACATATATGTATCTCGAAAACTGTCACTGTTGTCTAATTGTTTAGTTCAAGATTTTCCTACTGGCAGAACAGCTACAATGGGCAGGATGTACATCAGATTAGGCAGGAAGATGGCAGGGTGGGGAAAAAGCTTTTATGGGCAATTAAAGTCTGAGAATCTATTTCCAGTACAAATGCAATTTGTCTTTGGATCTCTGTTATCAGGGGCATCTTGTTTAGACTAAAAACTGTCCATGTCAGGATCCATTTTTCTGCTTTGTACCAGAGTTTGGAGTCTTTATCCTTTTAACTCAATGTATACACAGGAGTTTTCCTCGGAGGGACAAGAAAACAAATCATGGCTATAAAATGCATTCTCGATTCCCTTACCGGGAGAGAAAGAAAGAGACCTCAGACTTCAAGGAAAAGCACACGGGAGAGCAGCAGCACCACCTTGCTTGAAGGGGGATTCTTTCCGCCTCTTAGGGTAGATTAGATGCAAAGGTTTGAGCAGAACCAAAGGTTACAGGTGTAAATATGTTAAAAAGTGTATAGTTAAATGTTGAAAGTGCTGCAGTAATATCAGACATTGATTTTTTAAAGATAAATGCTGAACCAAACTTGCCACTCATGTCTCTCTATATACTGAGTCTGTGATATTTGGGTTACAACTAGCTAAGCTTTCACAAACGAGGACGGTGTTGTTCTAAACCAACAGAGTATGCAGCTGTAATGGATTATACAGCCTCCAGAAAGCTGACCCTGATGAAAGCTGACCCTTTCTACAAAGCTGACTCTACACAGGGTGCTGTCCTCAAGCAGCCAGCAGCCCACAGCCTGGTAACTACGGGTACCAAAGTTAATCAGGTGACTATTTGCAGTAATCCCCCATAGATAAAGGTAAATGTGTGCATGCAGACGCACACACGTATTTACACACACACACATATTCACTCACTTGTGCACATGCGCACACACACACACACACACACACACACACCCATCCCACCCTGCCAGCATCCCGTCACCAGGTCCCAGAAAACTCCCAAGGGTATAGCAGGTGCCCCTGGTCTGGACATACCACAGAGATACAAGACCTCTGAAGCTTTCATCCCACATTTCCCACCTGCAAGCCCAGTTTTCAAAAGGCTTTCTTCCTGCACCTTGAGAAGCCCCATGTCACGTTTGTCTGACCATACACTGGGGCTATCGGTGGGAGGGTAGCCACCAATGGCATGGGCCTCCCCATGCTCCTTTTCAGTGTTTTACAAGCTTCTGACAACAGCAGCTGCAGAATGCCTGCGCAGCATATTTTCACACTGTCTCCTTAAGAAAATCCCACTGTCTCTCTCACATATCATGTTCGCATAAGGGACATGGGGCTGTGATCCACAACTTGTGGCTGATGCAACCGCATCTTTACCTGCACAAGCTGGAGACTAGAAGAGACGGAGCCAAACTGAAGTTTGAGGATGGCCAATCTGGTCGGAGAAGGCCCTGAGCAGTAGCACTCACCTCTGGAATAAAAAAAAAAAAAAAATCAGGAGACCATGTCCCCTAGAGAGCAGGGGCACAAGGAAAGAAAAATAAAACATGTGTCCACCAAGGTGTCAGGCAATCTAGACCCTCAGGTTAAATCCCAGCATCCAGCCTGTCCAAGGTCCAGCCGAGGCTGCAAAACAGGGACGGTGGCAGGAGCTGCTTTAGATCATGGGCCCTGAAGCTCTCAATCATGGCACTCACTCACTGGGTAACACAGCTCTGGGCCTCAACACTTCATAAATGGGCCTCAGTTTGTCCATCTATAAGGTACAGATTAGAATCAAATGGCTGAATGTATATAAGGCCCAGGGCATCATGTCTGGCACATAACAAGTACTCAAAATTACATTACAGATTAACACAAAGATAATAAGAATCTCGACAAGATCTAGAGGGCTGCTCTCAGTCCAGAACCACCATCGCTAAGGTTGTTTCCGGACAAAAGGCATCACTCCTTTCGTGGCTCTTTTGTTATCACCCCACCCCCCTGACAGCCTGGGGGACCCTCTTCAGTCTCAGGATGTTCCCTGGGCCATTCTTCTCAATATCCATTTTTCCTTCTGGTGACAGGATGAGGAACAGAAAGGAAAGAGCAAAGGGAGGGATTGCTACATCCACCCTACTTTGTGCCATGGTAGCCTCGTCAATCAGAGGCACCCGCAGCCCTGGCATTCAGGGCCCAAGACTCGCTCTCCTTCCCAGAGAAAGCCCCAAGTGCAGGCCTGTCCTGAGTCACTGGGTGAGTTCCCCAGCAATGTTCTCTGCCTTCCCCCCACCACCACCATAGGCCCATTCTTGGGGTTCCTTGTTCATACATAGCCCAGGAAATCAGATGCCTCTGTGGTCGAGACACCTGGTGATCTCCAGGCCTTTGGGCAACACCTTTTGTTAAAGAAATTGATTGTATTTTAAGTGAAGATGGACATGAAGGAGCCAAGAACTTCCCCAGTCCTCTTTCTCCTGCACAAGGTGTCTACCTAAGAAAAAACCACTTGTTTTTAGACTGAGAAGACACAGTGGTGGAACCTCAACGTTTATGAGACTAGAGAGATTTAAATAAGATAAAAAACAGGAGAAAAAGAAATAGCTGCACCAGTGTATTTGTGGGAGGAAGCTGAGTCTAGGGTGGGAAAGGAGAAGCCTGGATAGTGACGGTGAAAAGTGGGGGGCAGTGGGTGCAGGGGGAGTCTTGGTGCCCAGAGTAGGCCGAGGAAGGAAGACACAATGTAAACACTGAGAGGAAAAAAGGCCAGCCCAAGCTCCTGCGTCTCTACCTCGCATTCATCGTCTCAAAAGCAGGATGCCTGCCACCCCCACTCGAATCTTGACAGACCCAGAGCAACCCATTTGGAGCATCCTCAGTGTTTAGGATTGATGGTGCACCTTCAGGTTTCCATTCCAAAAAATATATATTTTTACCGAATGTTTGTGAAAGGCAGATAACATAAAATGTAAAAACGCTGAAGATTAAGAGGGAATGAAGGAGAGAAAGGGATGAGTGAAACAGCCTCTATACCCCAGTTTCTTCCATTTATGTTTGGAAGGTTGAAACATCCCCCAAAGTCACTTGCTTCTCAGAATCCATGTGCTCACCCTCCGTATATTCCAAGGAATGACATCCCATGCAGAGGATGCTAGAAGGTGCTAGAAGACACTGGAAGGTGCAGGTAGCCCTTGTTATCTGCTAGGCAGCAAGAGATTTTGAAGGACCCTCAAGCTCTTCTCTTCCCATCTTTATGATCCAACTTACTGAACCACCTCACTGAACCTCCAGCTGCACAAACCTTGTCTGCATCGTGAGCCCCAGAGCCTGTCACGGGGAATACACATCAAGCTCAAGAAGTTCTCATGCACTTTTCTGGAACAGGAGGGCCTAGAGACTCAATTTCACACACACTGATAGGTCACTGATGTAACAGGCGTGGTTACCTGGTTGGCCTGGGAACTCACAGTTCCTCTCCATGTTGTCAGTGCTGAAGCACTTCAAACAGCAGAGAAGGCAGACAACTAAGGACGCTAAAAAGAGGGCAAATGAGGGGGAAGGGGGGAAGAAAAACATAAGTCTGGAGGCATCTGGTGCAAACTTGAGTGCAGCTCCTCAAAACAGCCCCTGAGTGAAGCCACAGAGACGGCGCTGCAGCTCAGAACAAGATGAGCAGCAGCATCGCACCCTCATGCAGCAAATGGTGTACTCAGCATACTCAGAATTCCTCATGTCTATCTCAAAATCCTGCTCAAAAATGAATATTTTTCCGTTTCTTTGCATCTATTAATAATGACTTCATTTTCAAATAAAAAAAAAGTGCTACCACAGCACAGTGCAATAAGACGCCCCCATTTTTAAGCAATGAAAAGTCCTAAACGTCAATTCTCCAGAAAGAGCCTGTGAATGCTCAAGGTAAACCCAGTATTAAAATTCAGCTAGGAAAGTCTCTCTCAAACTCTATGCGTTCTTACTTAACGCAGAATTTCAACGCTACCATTTATATACTTTTCCCGACTGGATTACAGAAGACAAACTAGGGAAAGTTCTGGTAAAGGCTAGGTTACAGATAGGAGAAATGCACCGAAGGGTGGCAGGTACTACATGTACTGCACAAGGACTGTTCATAACGGTGACCTTAGGTCACCATAGACAAGGTGAACTTACGTAATCTGGGGAGTGGGAAACATAGGTGGAATAAGGTTGGCCGCGAATTGTTGAGGCTGGCTGTTGGGTACATGGGGTTTATTACATGACGCTCTCACTTTTGTATATGCATGAAATTTTTCATAATTAAAAAAAGATATTTTATGGCTGAATATATTTTAGGGTATTCTGCTATAAAAGGGGAGACATCACATCACACATTTTAAAACTATTTATTTCAGGGACCAACTTGAAGATGGCCGTTTAGGAACAGCTCAGGATTGCAGCTCCCAGTGAAAGCGCAGAGGGTGAGTGGACGCTGTGTTTTTATTGCCCACAGACTAGGAAATTCCC